CATTGTCGAAACGCAGTTTACCCATTCACGCTACCCACAATAAACCTGTACTCTGGAATAAGCGTCAATGACTACGGAAAACCTTAATTAGACTCTAATTTAAGCGTCGGGAATCATTGAAATGTTCAAAAAATTATGCCTTAATTTAAAACTAAATGGTACATCTTTTTCTGAATCATGTGGTGGCTGTTTGGTTTGTGAAAGTTTGGGGTGCGGCTTATATTGCAGACTTTTTCCTGGGATCAAAACTTGTCAATTTCAACATGAAACAATGTCTCAATTTAGGGGTGCGGCTTCTATTAAAGTTGCGGCCTCAAATATGATTTTTACAGTATTATCAGCTTTTATTACTGTCACCAATAAAACTAACTGCATTTGTAAATGAAATATTGTGAAATTAATTTGGATATAAAAAACAATGTTGATTGTATTAAAGTGCTGAATGTATTGCCAGATAATATGTAATATGAATATGCAATTGTACAGTAGATTGGTTTCCAGTATTTCAACATCCATGCCAATTACTATAATTTTATTGACCCCATCCTTTGATAGATGCTCCTCAGTGTGCCCTGTTTAAGTTTTCAAACTGTAGAGAACTCAGACAATGTTAGATTGTATTTCACAATTGGCATACTTTTATCTGAATATTCTTAGATATCTCATCGGGTAGTGAAGATAATATTGATGGATGGGCAAAGAATCTGAATGGTCTTTGGGTCACTCAACAACCTGACTTCAGTAGTGAAATAGATTTCAATGCCACTGTTGCTCTTGAAGATCCACACTGTGCTATATGTCAGTTATTCAAACCTAAAAGTGTAAGTATTATGCACACATCCTGTAATAGTGAAATTACAACTTGATTATTGATATTTTATTTGGCAATTGACGACACAATGCTATGCCAATCGATACATCCCTTTTTGAGTGCATCAAAATGTTGTCTTTGCCTTCTGTAAATCTCTCAAAATAATAGTTTATATCATCTTGTTATTGATCAGCAAATATCCTGTTTGAGCCAAAGTAATAATTTGAATTAGAAATGCATGAAAAGTTGTCCTCAGACTATCCTCAGGTAACCTTTGCAGTCAGTGCTTTATCAAGTCTATATCGTTGTCTAATCTGTTTGGTTTCAGAATCAAACATCAATAACTGTGATGACACCACCATTATTGGGCCAAAAGTCAACAGTTCTTGTCTCAGAGATGTGTTTTGCCAGCAATAGCTCTGATAGGGCACCAATTAATACAAGTCAATTAATATCTAGTGATGGTACCAGTGAAATCCTTGTGTGTTTTACTTGTAGTGTTGCTGTACATGCAAGTAAGTTGTCACCTCACATTTATCCTATTAAGAGAGAGAACAAAATTTCTTTTAAATTTTTTTCAAAAATAATTGTTGATTTACACACAAATCATCATTTTTACCAATATGAATTATGGTATTTGAAAGAAAAACTGCATTAAAAATGCCAAAAATGTTTTTTTTTTAAACTATTCCCTTTGGAATTCTTATAATAAATATAATAGTATTAGCAGTTGAATAGTATTTTTCAAAGAAGGAATCAATGATGAATGGTTCAAAATTTTACATATTTTTAAGTAATTTTCTAAATTTTCTTCAATTTTGAGCCAAATGGGCATAATTTTGTATTGCCTGCAGCTCTTGAAAAAAAAAAAACACAGAAACAATGATTCAGATTTATTTTGGGTGTCTATTCAACTTCAGTCAACATTTTTTCCGAAAGTCAAAATGAAGAGTTTTCCCATAATTATCATCAATATACTCATATTTTTTTACCTTGAGGACTAAAAATGTTATCATGCATCATTTCTTTCCCTGCCTATCACAGTTGGTTAGATGGCCTAAGTTCCTTTAACTCTGTTATTACTTGCATGTGATTTGAGAGTAAATTGAGTGTTTATGTTATTGTCCCCAAAGGTTGTTATGGTGAATTTGAGATATTAGATCGTGAACATTGGCAATGTCGACGATGTGCAAGAAATGCTTGGGAAGCTGTAAGTATATTAGCTGTGTTTATCTGACTATATATTATCTATCAATAACTTGCTTTATCTTGAATTCCAAAAGCAAATTATCTGCAATGCTTGAGCAATCTAGCTAAAGAGAAAACTGTCATATTGTTTAAAATATTTAACAATGATTTATCATTTAATTTGACAACATGGAACAAATTTGTTAGTCCCATTTGGACAAAATCTATCAAGTACTGCAACATCATATGCTTTTTGCATGTGTAATTCTTTGAGATAGTAATAGATAAAATAGTAATTTTATCCTAATAATTTGTGTAATTCTTTGAGATAGTAATAGATAAAATAGTAATTTTATCCTAATAATTTGTGTAATTCTTTGAGATAGTAATAGATAAAATAGTAATTTTATCCTAATAATTTGTGTAATTCTTTGAGATAGTAATAGATAAAATAGTAATTTTATCCTAATAATTTGTGCTATGCTGTTGACATTTGTTTTGTTTTCCTATAAACGTGATGTGATTCATTATCACATGCATAACACATGTATCTCCATATTGAAAAATACCATGAGATACAGGTTTTTACTCTGCTGTTATATTCTATGACACACACCAAAACTATTTTTATTACTCACTTTAAAACAAACAGAATTTTATGTTGTTATGGTCTTTAACATTAAGTATACAACAGGGATTGTACATTGCAAAGTGCATAAATAATCAACAACTTCAAAATATTTTTTCTACTATATGTTCTCGAATAGCTTTGTGCTCTCATAGATTAGTGACTGCTAAGCACTAATAATGAATCTGATTATTTCTGTTATTTTTCTTCTTACTTAGACGTGTAAATTATGTTGTTTGCGAGGAGGAGCATTGAAGCCTACTACAGATAATAACTGGGTACACATGGTGTGCTCTATAGCCATTCCTGATGTGTCATTTGTTAATGTCAGTCACAGAGAACCAGTTGACATCTCAAGGATACGACCTGCAAGACTACGCTTGGTGAGTGGCCATTGTACATTGTACGTGTAATGTCCTGATTGCAAATTGATTTCATTTGTAATACTCAAAATGTTACTTTTACAGAAATGTGGCTACTGCTATCCTATTGTCAAGCAGCCTCACATAGGTGTGTGTATACAGTGCTCATTAGGCAAGTGTGTGTCATCGTTTCATGTCACTTGTGCCTATGCTGCTGGTGTAACAATGGAACCTGATGATTGGCCTTATCCAGTATCTGTCATATGTCTCAAGCATTCAAGTAGTAAAAGAAGGGTGAGTCACTGTTGCAGTATTATAATGTACACTTTATGAAATGTATATAATTCAGACACCCAATATTTCAATTTCACCGCAAGTCTATCATCCCCAACACGTATAATTTTCAAATAAGCACTTTACTACATGTAGTAGTAATTATTATAAAATAAAGATGCAACTCTAGATCATGATTTAGATGAAGTAGACTGCCAGCTCTCATCCATTAAAATGGTTGGTATAGCACTGTATTTATAATTCAATGATTTTGTGTAGGAGGAGAAGCGACCACTGCCAGAAGTCAAGATAGGCCAGAGAGTGATTGCTAAACATACAAATCGTCGCTATTATCATGCTGATGTGACAGATACAACACAGCAGATATTCTACCATGTAGACTTTGAAGATAATTCACGAAGTGATGATCTCTATCCGTGTGATATTGTTGTAAGTATTTCACAATTTAATATACTGGTGTAGACCATTGTTCTGTTTTATCCTTCTCACCACCTGTTATCTCTTTTCTTCTCAAATTCACACAATAGCCCTGTTTATAGTTTGCACTTTCCTTCAAAAGGCTCGGACAGAAATAGCCAATTTTTTGAATAATAGCTAATGGCTCCAAAATTAAGGTTCATTTCTAGATATATTGAAGAAAAAAAATGCAGAAAAATTTGGGTGAAAAAGTCTGGTGGTTAAAAGGTTAGCAACAGAATAAATAATCTACCCAGTGACTAATAATAATACTAGTAATAGTGTGACTTTAATGAGTCTTGTCTAGATATGTAATAATGATAATGTGGATCATTATACAGAGTCATGACTGTGAACACTATGGACCACCACCTGAAGGAAGTGAAGTAGCTGTGAAATGGACGGATGGAGTCACCTACAGGGCTACATTCAAGGGATATCATACAGTTACTTTATACCATGCTGTCTTTGAAGATGGTTCTCTTGTAACTTTGAAAAGGGAACTTCTTTACACTGAAGATGAACCACTGCCAAAAAGAGTTCAGTCAAAACTGGTAAGTCATTGGGGTTGTTTTTCTATGTTCTGTGTGAACAACGTCAATCTGGTCACTCCATCATAAACAGTTATACTCTGGGGTAACCAGTACATTAGTCACATGCATACTACACACAAATGAATACATGTTAAATGTCTTGTCTTCTGCCAGTTGTTAGCTCAGCTATCGACAAAGTTGAGTGGAGCTATTCATATTAATGATTGTCCGTCTGTCATCGTTGTCAACTTAAAAACTTATTCTGTGCGAGTTTTATACCCTCTACAAATTTACCACGGGTGGTTCTTTCTCAGATTTGTTCTTTTGTGTATTTTTTTTTTAAATAGCTAAACCTGATTGATTTGATATTTCTTTCTTATTATGCACCTAGAAAAGTGGAGCTATGTCACACAGCTGGCTGCTTACTTATTTATGTAGTCTTTTAGCTTTGTCATAGAGTATAGAATTGAATTCTCTTATTCTCATTGATAACTATTATCTCTCTCCCTCAGTCAACAGCCACAGATATGCAACATGATATATTCTATACTAGCCCTATAGTGGAAGAGAAACATAGAAAAGTTAACAGTCGATATGCATCATTGACGTTAAGAGATGGTAGTACAACAGATGAAAGTTTGACAGGGGATTATGTTACCATGCATGGTGATGAAGGTGGCCATATGTACTTTTCTCATTCGTCTGCGTTGCCGGTAGACTGGTCAATGCCATCCGGTTCTGCTTATGAAGGTGACTCCACAATGTACCACCAAGTTTAAGTTTCATGTACAAATCAGTTTGTAAGATATTAAAGTTTGACTATAAACTTATTTTCTATGATGTTCGCAGATTATCTGTTGATGTGCTTGTATATGTACTAATATGTAGTGCTGTCTGGCTTTAGTTAATCACATACTACAATGTAGTTTCAAATTTGTTATGCAGTCACTATTCCTTTATTATTAATTAATTAGAGGAACTGTATGCAGTTTATGAATTGCGGAGTGTATTCAAATACATGTGTTCCTGTACATGTTTAGCGTTTTGCTGCCTCTTGTATAATAGATTATTAGTCCACGCTTCACAGTGATTAGACTAGATAAGATTTTCTACCAAATTGGACAAGAATTTTTTCTTCTAAAATCGTAACCTTGTACAAAGTGTGATGGGATTTTTTTTTAAATTATTTTTGAAAGAAGTTGTATTTTTCAGTGATTTTGTTGACTTTTTCATTTCTAGGCAGATAGCTCATTCAGGGATGTTTTCAGTTGTCAACAATGTGACTACTCTTTGTTATTCAAGAAGAGTTTCTTGAACTTCAAATTAAACAAATTTGTAGTAACTTTGACTGAATGTGGAACAGCTTGTATATATTGTTTTCAATGCGACTGTATTGCATGGAAAAGCATGCCTCGTTTGTTGCTTGTGATGAAATGCAGCAATCCATTTCTCAACTTGCTATTCAAGAATCCAGCAAGGTGCCAGTTTCCATTGTAAACTTTTCTTGAAATTTAAAACTTGTATTAAGCTCAGTTACTAACATTATTTTTGACCTGATTAAATATTATTTTTACTGTTTATACCAGTGATAAACCATTCGTTCTGTACATATAGTACTTTTTTTCGTAGTTACTCAAAATTTGTCTCTTTATAGACTGATTTCATAGATTCATCTCACATATGGTTTCCTGAAAAATAATATGTGCAAGGGATTGTATTATTGAATTTAATAAGTGGGTTGACTGGAATAAAAAAGAGCAACAACTTTTTAAATTAATACTTCTTCATGAACAGTAGTATTTTTACTGGTAAATATTGCGAATATATAGTTGATGAGTGGAGTTAGACAGGAGGGGGATTTGACATCTTTCATACACGTACATATTATATCAATGGTCAAGTTATTGCTCATTCAGCTGTTTGCTTTATTGTCAACATACCAAATTAATATAACAAAATTAAATTATCCAAAAAAAAAAAAATTTGAAAAAAAATGTATATGTTTTATGTTGATATTGACAATATATGTGTCATGTATTCCCCTGTCTGAATATGGGGGGTTTCTACATAAATTATTGGTTAGCTTCATTTGAAGGGAAACTGCTTAAAATAATTAAAATTATTCTCCAAGACTGCATTGAACAGCTCATGCTGTTAGTCACAAAATTGTCTTGTTTTAGTATTCAATACAACCAGTCTCTCTGCCATAAACTCTATGTAGTAATGTTTTTTTTTCTAATTTGAATGTACATTGCACTACAATAGTAACATTTTGTACATGACAGATCATATGAATTGAAAAAGTCTGTTAATTTATTTTTTGGCTTTTCTTTATGCAAAATATGTTAAGCTCCTTATATCCAAGTGCGTAGATATATATTTTTTGTTTGGAAGCTGATAGTTTTCCTGTATTTGTATCTTAATGTTTTCTTATACTTGAATAAATGGCATTGAATTCAAGTAAACACTATATATGCATTGTTGCATTGTCTGATTTC